CATATATGTGTATGTTTCTTAAAAATATAACCAAGTCAAACAGACTTACAGACTAGTGACAGAGTAGAAGGATTAAATTTCCACAAACCTTTAAAAAATTGAGGCTCTTCCAAAAAGGCAAGGAAAACCAAACATTTCAAATGATTAGTCAAATAAGTGAGGGACTGGAAAAAAATAATTTAAACTAGATGATTGCTTTATCAGATTGTAGGCCAAATATGACTTACACAAGTTAAGTACTTAATCCAAAAGGCTTTCAATTTAATCCAAATTGAATGAAATAATTAGGTATAACATTAACAAAACATGTACAGGATATGGAAGCTGAATATTACAAATGCTGATGAAAGAAATCAAAGAAAATTCAAATAAACGGAGCATCATACCAGGTTCATGAACTGAAAATCTCAACAGAGAAAAAAAATGGCAGGTTTTCTACAATTTGATCTATAAGTTTATTGTCAGTCTTCTCAAAATCCTAACAAGTTTATTTTAGAATTTTATGGAAAGGCACTAGAAGAGCTAAAACAAACAAACAAACAAAAAATGAAATGGAAGATATCATTCTATCCAACATTAAGGATTATATCTACAATTAACAACAGAGTATGTTATCATTAGAGAGGTAGAGACATAGCTCAGTGGAAGCAGACAGAGAATCTAGGAATAGACTCATGCTAATAAACACAAATGATTTTTGACAAAAGCACAGAAGCAATTCAATGGGAAAAGAATAACTTGTTTCAACAAATGGTGTTTGGATAATTAGACATCCATAGGTAAAAAAAAGAAAAGAAAAGAAAAAAGAAACTAAATCTACATCTCACACCTTATACAAAAATTAAGCTCAAAATGAATTATGGAGTTAAATATAATACTTAAAACTATAAAACATTTAAAATTTTTTAAATGATAAAACTGGGAGAAAATATTCAGAACCCAAGGCTAGGCAAGAGTGTTTACACTTGAACCAAAAGCATGGCCCATAAAAGTATAAATTCAAATACTAGACCACATCAAAATTAAAACTTTTGTTCTGAAAAGGCCCTGCTAAAAGAATGAAAAGATAAGCCATGGAATGAGAGAAAATATGTGCAACTGCGTAGCTGACAAAAGACACTGGTATTTAAACCTTATTTAAAAACCTGTCAAACACAATAGTAAAAAAAAAAATCCAGTTAAATAAATGCATAAAAGACATACTTCATAGGAATAGATATACATATACAAAACTGTGTTCCTTAGAATTAAAGGTGTTTGTTCATGGAATATGTGAATCAAAAGAAAGACAGCTCCATGTGCCATCGATCAGTTTTGGAAACGCTGACGTAAAGCGACTCAGGTCTCCTCAGTGTAGAAGTCCCCAGAGCCTCTGTACACTAGCGTGGGTTAGGAACCTCAGACAGGGGGGGCAAAGCTGCAGCTCCCGAACGTTGGCCCCCCACACCCCCGTCCTCCCAGAACTCTCCTTTGCTGCACTCTCTCGCGCACATTTTGGGAAACACTAGGTTAGAGAAATCGCTGGATTCATCCTTCTGGCCCAAGGCAAACTGAATCTTGCAGTGATGATGGGGAGTCACAGCGGGACTGGCCTCGGGGGTGCCCTTCGCCCAGAAGGTAAGCCACGCACAGGACACACGGAGAACAAAGCCAGGGCGAGAAAGCCGGCTTCCCAGACCCAGGCCGGCGCACTTCCGCCGCGCCCTGGCCTTGGTCTCCAAAGAGAGAGACGGTCTTCCTTCCACTCCGATCCCTTCCCGATTATTCCTCATCACAGAAGAAGTAAAACGACGCCCAGGGACGCTCAACCCCTTCCGGGGATTGTGAACCCCTTTGACTTCCTGAATGAAGACATTCAGGGTTTAACGGGAAGGGTCGACAGGAAAAGTCACTGGAGGGGTGACGCGGTCGCAGTGACAGCCCATCACATTCACAGGCGTCTCTGGCAGCCAGCCGCAGGGGCTGGGGCACTTCGAGCAGGAGGTCCAGGAATGAAAAATGACTTGTTCTGGGCGTGCATTATTCATGTATTTATTTTCCAACTTGCACAGGAGAGCACCACTGGCTACTTTTGCCGTGAGGAAGGTACCAACTTTTAAAAGTCTACAGCCAATTTCTTGTTTTAACACTTCGACAACGGAGCGGACAGGCAAAACTGGCGCTTTTTTTCTTAATCACATCCTTAAAAATAAACTGAAAGAAGCACTGTGTTCTCATAAATGCTACAGATTTCCTACAGGACAGATACGTCCACTGAAGTCACAGCATCTCTGTACTGACCAAATAGCATCATGTACCGGTCCTCATTTATTTTGTAAATTGCTTTATTTATAGTTGAATACACTCTGAAATCTGATCATGCTGTGCTACTTACAACCCCAGTATTTCATTATCAAGATTCATAAATTACACAGCATTTAGATAAAAAATGCATATCTCAGAGTTCCTCCAGCTTTTTATAAGCCCCAAGAGATTAACACTAAATGTATCAGATCTAAAAGAATAAGAAGGATGAATCCGCTACAGGAACTCATCAAGGACTTGGAGGCTTAAAATGTAGATAATTCTTCCGTTCTAATGCTTTGAACTTTGGTTAATGATTATTAGAGATGAAAGAGAATTGGCTTACCACGTTCCTCAAAGATTTACATATTAAATTCCAAAGCCAGGAGGTAGAAGTCTGAAACAGGGCAAGTTTGTCCTCAAACTCCCCTTGCTTGTTTCACGTTCAAGGGGGAACTTTCAATCCACTTTGGTTTTCCCTTTGAGTCTGTCCTCAAAAACTTTGCAATCCTGGCTTTCTCCGCCCCCACCATCACTCACCCCATTTCCTCCAAATCAAAACCTCCTTCTCCTGGCTTTAGATGTCTCAGGTACAGATTTTTCCTGGTAAGCTAAACAGATGTTTGACACAAACACATCTATATGTGCTCTACGTCTACTACTGATAATATTCATTGCTGTTCAATCAATACTGTAAAAAACATCTACTATGTGTTAGGTACTAATAACGGAATAGAGAACCACGCCCAACCCCCTTCAACTCCCCCCCCCCCCACCAAATCTCTGCCCTTAGGGTCCTTATTTTATAATTTTATAAGGTGGCCATGTGGCAAATACAATAAGAAACAACTGAGTAAATATGTTATGTAGTAGTAAGTGGTAAAGAGAAAAATAAAGGGAGTTGAGGTGTGTCAAAGGATTCCATTTTAAATAATGGGATCAAGAAATGGCTTCCCTTTGAGAAAAATTTAAGCAATGACTTGAGCAAAGTAAAGACATGAGCTACATGAGTATTTGTGGGGACAGGATTCCAAGGAAAGAGAAAAACAAGTTCCAAGGTAGGAGTGTGTTTGGCAGGCCCTAGAGAAAGCCAGGAGCCCAGGATGCCTGCAACCGCGTAGAGTGGAATTAAACAGGCCACGGGGAATCCATTCATGTGAGTGTGGAGTCCACTATTCGGACCTGGCTGAGGGCTGTGAGCTGGGCTATCGTGGTGTGATTGACACAGGATCCCACAGAGTCTAGAGGGCTAAGAATTAGGCAGCCCTGGGGCTTGGACCACAGCAGTAGCAGCAAAGGTTGTGAGAAGAGTTTGGAGTCTTTCTGCCTATTGAACACAGAGCCAACACCATTTGCTGATTGATCACAGAGCCAACACCATTTGCTGATGGACTAGATCTGGAGAGTTTCTACAAAGCATTCCTTGCTTTTCCTCTTCTCTTAGGTATGTGAAGATCTGTAAGAAACCATAGCCTATTTCTTTATCTTTCTGTATTCTCAAAGGTAGGTAGAGGGGACCATGAAGAATCAGGTGTTTCCAGATGTATGTGGGACTCTACCCAAAGAAGGAAGTGCCATGCACAAGGACCAGACAGAACAAGAGTCTGTTCAGACTGCTATAAAAAACTGCCATTGTAATTTACTGTATAAACCAAAGTGTCAACATGGGTCCTTATTAACAAGATGCTGCAGAGCCACCGCATTTGGAGAGTTTGCGCAAAAGGAAAGATTACCCACCTTCCCTCACTTAGCTAAATTTCTGTGCCCCTGGATCTATTGGTTTCACATAAATGGCACGTAGCCCCCTGGTAAATTCTCACAAAATGCAGATAAAAATCTTCAATATGGAAAACCAAAACAATTAAAATGTTCTATCATGAAAATAAGCATGGTCCCTCCATAGTCAAAAGAGTAGTATTTTTCCAATACAAGAATAGCCAGAGCCTTGAGGAAAAGAAGTATTACCCATGGGCTTTTCCACATTTTCATGAAAATAGAAAATACACGGGCTGCCCAATAAAAAGACCATGAAAAACATTGCCATGGAGAGGGATAGACATGACTAACTTATGAATCTAATTAGTAAGTATATCTTGCATTTACCTGAACTTTCTACTCCTGAATGATGCATGTTAACACACAATTACTGTTTTTAGTGAGGAAGTTCACTACTACTACTGCTGCTGCTGCTGCTGCTGCTGCTACTAAGAAAACTGGAAATCTGAATTAACTTTAGTCATCAAACTTAAAGAAATAAATTTGTGGGTGGGGCTTCCTCTATCTCCACCAATCACCTGTTTTCCAGCTTGCCTCCAGCCCCCGCCCCGGTCTCCTCTCCCCACACTCCAAGCTCTGAACGAGGGGCTACTCTGCACCAGTCACTGTGCTCGATTCCATAAGACCCAATCCTTACCCTCAGGGACTTTGATGTTGGAAGTAGGGTCTACTATGCAACTTGAAAATTTACAATACAACATGGTAAACTCTTACACTCGAGATTGGAAAACAACAAGTAGCAGGAAACCACTAACAGGACTTCACATCAGACAATTATTTTAAACAATTAGCAAGTATATAGTACTTTAGAAATGTTTTGTGCTTGGAAAAAGAATGATATGTCCTTTGGTCAAATAATCCAGACAGGTTGCCAGACTCAGTGAACTTGGGTTACCCACCTGTGTAGAGATTTCTGGAAAGCTAGAACAATGGAGTCTTACCTTATGATAACACCTAAAATATGCAGCTCGTTCATCGGAAAATTTCTCCAGTCTCTTTGGACCTTTGCTGGAGGCTTTCTTGAATACTAACCAGCATCGTTGATAAATCTGAAAGAAAGTACGAAGATTGTGCTCAGCTTCACTACTCACTCGGCTATGATGTAATGACATTTGCATTTAAATGTTTTCCTTTTGATGGTTTCACCTGTGAAATATTCAGAAGCCATAAATGTGCTGGCGCCTAGGGAAATAAAATTCAGAACACCAAAACTGTTTCCACATGAGTGTATTATGTCATTCTGACAATTACTGAAATTTTTTAAAAAAGTATGTGAAGGCAAATTTCTTCATGTTTTGATAATACTATCAGTGGGAATATTTGACAAAAAGTCCCAGAGATAAAAATCTCAAATCATTTCAAATAATGTAGCACATGCTCTGATTTCAAATGCAATTAAGTATGGGAACCATGAGTCTGACACGTTCTAAAGATTCCGTTGATAGTCCGAGAAAGAGACAGCCTTTGCATGTCAATTCTTACATACCCAGAGGTGTCGGTAAAATAATACAGTAATTAAAATCCATTCTTTCGGCTTTCATCTTGCATAGCGATTGATTTAACAAGGGCCATAGCATGGAGACAAAAATGGGAAAATCATTAAATGGAGCAAGAGTAGGCTTTTAAACAAATGATGTTGGAATAATTGAACATCCAGGAGGGAAAAACAAACACTTTAACCTGAAACACCTCTCTTACACAAAAATTAACTCAAAATGGACTTAAATATAACACAAAACTATAAGATTTTCAGGAGAAAATGTTTGAGGTGAGGGTCTGGACAAAGAGTTCCTAGACTTCATACCAAAAGCACAGTCCAAAAAGGAAAACTTGCCAAATTGTACCTCCTCAACACTTAAAACATTTGCTATGTGAAAACCTGTTAAGAGGATGAAATGACACGCTACAGACTGGGAGAAAATGTTTGCAAACCACATTATCTCACAAAGGATTAGTATCTAGAATATACAAAGATGTCTCAAATCTCAATAGTAAAGAAACAATCCAATTACAAAATGGACCAGAAAAGACATGAACAGACATTTCAGCGAAGAGGGTACACAGATGACTGAGCAGCGCACACAAAGATGTTCAACATCGTTAGCCATCAAGGAAATGTTAATTAAAACCACAATGAGATATAATTACACACCAATCAGATCGGCTAAAATAAACTAATAACAATAACAACACCACCAAAGGCTGGCAGAGATGCACAGAAACTGGACCCCTCATACCTTGCCGGTGGACAGGTCAACCGGTACAGACACTCTCAAACAGTTTGGCAATTCCTTTGAAAAACTAAATAGGCAACGTAGGACCAGCCATTGCAGTCTTAGGAATCAACCCCAGAAAAATGCAAACTTCCCACAAAATAAACTCGAACAAGAATATTCAGTCCAGCTTTATTTGTATCAGCACAAAACTGGAAACAACCCACATAGCCTTCAGTGGGTAAACGGTCAAACAAACATCCCTATCATGTAGTTACTTAGCTATCTAAACAAATGAACTATTAATACTGCAGCAATTCGAATGAGCCTTCAGAGAATTATGCTGAGTGGGGGAAAAAAACCAAACCCAAGAGGTTACGTATTGTATAAATTCATTCATAGCGTTCTTGAAATGACAAACTATAGAAAGCAGATTAGTGGTTATCAGCGGTTAGGGATGGGGGAGAGAAGGGTGTGCTTATAAAAGATAATATGGGGTATCTTTGCAGTGATGAATTGTCCTGTATCTTGGCTGTATTAATGCCAACATCTTGGTTATAATACGGCATTGTAATTTCAAAGATGTTACCAACAGGGAAACTGGGTAAAGGTACAGAATCTATCTGTAATATTTCTTATGACTGAGGGTGAATCTACAATTACTTAAAAATAAAGCACGTAAAAATTTTTAAAGGGAAAAATGTAGAGATATTTACCTGAGATCTTAAAATTACAGTCTAATCTAATAACAGTCATCTACACTCTTCACTAGTCCTACTGCTTCTACGATCAGACCGCCGTCCAACTAACCACTAAGCCAAGCAACTTTAAGAAGTAAAGTTGCAAGAACCAGCCTCCCTTTCAGGATGGAGATTCAGCCATGAAAATGAACATTCTCAGAACAGTGGTTGGCAAATAGAAGTCTTACCAACGTCTCACTTATGTCTGAATAACAGATGAGACTCCTGGCTCCCTCAAAGCTTGACAGCCACCAGATTACTGTAATTACAGCGGAATGAGAATGCCTGTCACTCCGATTGTTCAAATAAGAGGTGTAGAAAATAGGTTTCTCACCGTCATTCTATTATTGGCAACACTTTCTTTTGTATACACCTCAGAAAATACGTTAGAAATTTAGCGTGCCAAAGGTATATAAGAAATATGCCGCTGCTGAAAAAAAATTACTGTCACTGAGTTAGATAGATTAAATTTGCTAATTACACCTCAACTTTCAGGGCCAATCTTGAGTGATAGCATTTCAAACTTTTGTTGTTGTTGTTCATTTTATTTACCATTGAACCGGTATTTATCTGGCTTGTGTCCGAAGGCTGTTGAATGCAAGGTAAAGATTCCACAATTTCAATATGTCTAATGATTTCCATCTAATTTATCTGTATTAAGTTTAGGGGGGTTTTGTTCCTCACTTTTTTGTTTTTCTTTTGATTTTTATTAAATAGTAGGGGGGAAGTACAATGTTATAATCAAGTAACTGCAAACATAAATATTGTACAAATTCACATGCAATATTGCTTGTAACCCTTGGCTGGGAAGTCAACATGGAATAGATGAAAACATATTGGTTGGCTCTCAGAGTTGGCCCAACATCACTCCCAGTAATTGTTAAATGTGCATATTCCTAGAGATTAGCCAAGGTCTACTGCATCAGGGCCTCTTGGGGTGGAGCCAGACAAATTTGCTCTTGAACTCATTCCCCAAGTGTTCTGGTTTGCAGTTTGCAAGCCAGCCCATAAATATGCATAAGGGCTTTCAGACAATATAGCGCTTCCCAATGGGCTGGCCCACAAAGAGCTCTCCAGCCCGTGCTCGAGAATGTGGGGCGGGGGGGGGGGAGGGGCGCGTGGCGCGGTGGCAGTTCCCTCTGAGGTGTGTGCCTCCCAGCCCGCCGAGGCCCTCTGAGCAGCTGTCTTGGGTTTGAGAGACACATTACAGGCAAAACTCTAATCTGCTCAGGAGAGTAAACTCCCAGTTTCCATCACCATGCACTTTCGGTCTCAAGAACACGAGAAAAGGCACTAGCACCAAAGGAGTAAAAACTTATCCGAAATATCTCAGTACCGTTTCCAGAAAATGAAACAGGACTCAGGACTCTGACCACGGTAACGTGCGGAGGCCAATTTGGGTTAACACTGCCACTGTTAAAAGGTTAAAAGGGAGACAATTTGAGAATAATGTCATTCACTTAATAGCTTAGGACAGAGCTTTTCTTAAAACGCATCCATTCAACCATCTGCTTCCTATTTTAAACAACATATCTGCATACCACCTACACTATTTTTAATTAACAACTTTCCATAGGCTTTTTTAACTAAAATGTTTTAATTTAAGGAGGAAACTTCTATCATAGCCACAATAGGAAAGAGGAGTTTCAATGGCCACAAAGAATAGGAAATCCCATGAGAAATATACTGTGAGAGAATTTGATGACAGACTAATTCTCACGTTGAGAAATCTCACCTCCTCCTACGCATCAGGGCTGCTCAGTCTCAGCACCATTGACATGCTGGGCAAGGCCATGTTCTTTCAGTGGGTGGAGGGGCTGTCCTGGGCACTGTAGACATTTAATAGCAACATGGCCCTCCACCGCCAGAATCCCAGGAGCAAGCTCCCCCAGCTTCAGCTCACAACCAAAACTGTCTCCAGACATTGCCAAGTGTCCCCTGGCAAGCCAAGTAAGAACCACTGCTCAAGATGAATGGCCACTAATCTGAGGTTGCACGTTCAAGAACATGAGGCTTTACGAGTACCTTCCAAGTCCCAGATCTGGATAAATCAATCCACACACGCCAATGTGGAAGCTAAAATAGATGAGCTCACCAGACAGGACAACCTGGGTGGATACCCACCAGATTTTGCAGTTACAGGACAATGGACCTCAGCGTGTCTTTTGTTGCCGGTGGTGGTGGTTTTGTTATACCTCCCTTTCAGCCTTACATTGTTACCGACTCTTAAATGATTTGACTATTTTTTCACTGTCTTTCCTTTCTTTAAAACTTGATATCCTTAGTCATTGCTTAGCTCTGGTTTCAAATGCCTGCCACTTTTTATTAACTTCTTTTCCTGACAAAGAATGTTCTGGTAAATTCACCAAGATTTCCAGTTCCAAAAAGCAGCTGAAACAATTAAGAATTTGTTCAGAATTAGACTGCTTATTGTATCAGCAGTCTACCCCAATATCTTGAACAACAGAGTCACAAATTAAACTTCTGGAGGGCACATGGACAGCTATGAAGATAACAGAAAGCAAATTTTAATCACCAAATTCCTGCTGAAAGAAAATTATATACTGCCTCTATGTAAGCTCAAGAAAAGAGGAAAGCTAACTAAGATGTGACCATTTAGGTTTTTTGACTTATCGAAGAGTCAGCAAACTTTTTCTGTAAAGAGCCAGATAACGAGTATCTTAGTCTTCGATGGCAGAGGCCTTTGTAGCAACTACTAAACTCATGAAAGCAGCTATGGAATCCATGTGTGTGGGAACGGTGTGGCTATCTTCCAATAGAACATTATTTAAAAACCAGGCAGGGGGCCCGACATGGGCCACACGCCACCATGTGCCGCCCTGTGGTCGGCAGGCACATTCCTCAACTGCTTAAACTCAGGTCACCTTCTGATGAATGTGACAATCTGTGTGACATGTCCCTCCTGGAGGAAAAAGAGGAAGAAATGTGCCCCAGGGGAAAGCCCCTATATGCTCCACATCTCCCCACAAGCCAACATTTTTCTTCAGTCAAATTATATGAAAATATTGACCCGATGCCTCTATAGCCCTCCACCACCCTTCTGGTCGCCTGTCCACTGTTAGGAATCACTGGTCT